ACAGTTGCCTACAGTAGTCAGTACAGTAACATGCTGCACAGGTGTGTAGCCTTGGAGCAATAATCTATACCATATTACCTAAGATTGTAGTAGGCTGCACCATCCAGGTTTGTGTAACATTCTATGAAGTTCAAACAATGACAAAATCGCCTAATGACGTGTTTCTCAGAATGTATTCCCATCATTATGTGACACATGACTATATATAAATTCTACCCCAGTTCCTGATGCAGAGCTCCTAAAACTACCACCAAAGGTGGTAGGAGACTCTTTTTTCCATACTTGGTCTCTGACCCTAGTCCTGTCCTGATACAGAGCTTCTAAGACTTTCATAATTTCCTGAGTGATAGAGGAGTACCTGAAACAGTGACAAGAGCACATTTTGTTCTAATGAGGCAACTCTTTAGAACTTTCAGCCCCATCTCCTTCCTCTGGAGGAGAGAGCAGCTGGAGACTGAGCTAACAGTTGATCATGGCTAAATATTGAGGTCTCACAAAAAGGCTTTTTAACAGACAGGGTTTGGAGAGCTTCTGGGTTGGTGAACATATCCATGCCAGGAGGGTGGTGAATCCCAACCCCATGAGAACAGAAGTTTCTGTGCTTAGGACCCTTCCAGACCTCCATGTACATCTTCATGGCTATTCACCTTTATGCTTTGTAATATACATTATCATAAAGCAGTAAATGTGTTTCCCTGAGTTATGGGAACCACTCTAGTAAATAACTGAACCCAAGGAGGAGGTTGTGGGAACTCTGATGACAGCCAATTGGTCAGAAGCACAGGTGACAATCAGGACTTTCAACTAGAATCTGAACTGGGAGCAATCTTGAAGGACTGAACCCTTACTCTGTGAAGTCGGTGCTAACTCCAGGTATAACAGCATTAGAAGTGACTAGTAGGACACTGAGCTGGTGCTGAGAACTTGGCTGGTGTGGGAAAACTCCCCATACATCCGGTGTTAGAAATGAAGTCCTCAAAGTACTGAGAGTTGTCAGTGAGAGTATACAAGCTTGTTTTTCCCTATTTACTAGATCTATTTGCTTTTCCAAATAAACTTTACAATCATTTTGTCAATATCCACAAAATAACTTGCTGGAATCTGAGTTGGGACTGTATTGAATCTGTAAACCAGGTTGGATAGAAATGACATCTAAACAACATTGAGTCTTCCTCCCTACGACAGAGAATATCTCTCCATTTACTTACATCTCTTTTATCAGAGTTGTATAATTTCCCTCATACAGCTCTTATATATACTGTTAGATTTATTCTGAAGTATCTTTTTTTTGGTGCCAACATAAATGGAATTGTATCTTTAATTTCAAATTTTAATTATTCCTTATAGACATACAGGAAAGCAATTAACTACTGTACATTAACCTTCTATATTCTACAATCATGTCATAATTTATTTTTATTGAGACAAGGTCTTACTCTTGTCACCTGAGTTAGAGTACAGTGGCATCATCTTAGCTCACTGAAACCTCAAACTCCTAGGCTCAAGTGAGCCTCCTGCCTCAGCCTACCAAGTAGCTGGGACAACAGGCACATGCCACCATGCCCAGCTAATTTGTTCTATTTTTACTAGAGATGCAGTCTTGGCTCTTGCTCAGGCTGGTCTTGAACTCCTGCGCTCAAGGGACCATTCTATCTCAGTCTCCCAGAGAGCTAGGATTATAAGTATAAGCCTATTATGACACTTTACGTCATAATTATTAATTCCAGAAATTTTGTTGATTCTTGGGATATTCTATGTAGACAGTCATGTCATGTGTGAACAAGGACAGTTTTGTTTCTTCCTTCTCAATCAGCATACCTTTTATTTCCTTTGCTTATCTTACTGCATTAACTAGAACTTTCAGCAAAATGTCAACCAAGAGTAAGAGGGGACATCCTGCCTTACTCCTGATCTTAGGGGAAAAGCATCTAGTTTCTCACCATTAAGGATGACATTAGCTATATGGTTTTTCTGATAGATGTTCTTTATCAAATTGAGGAAGTTCTCCTCTATTCCTAGTTTGCCACAAGTCTCTTTTTTTTTAATTGTGAAAGGAGGTTGTATTTTGTCAAATATTTTTTCTCTATCTACTGATACGTGATTTTCCATTTTTCTTCTTTAGTTGACATGAGAGATTACATTAATTGATTTCTAATGTTGAACTAGTCTTGCATACCTATGATGAATTCCACTTGGTTGTGGCATATAATTCTTTTTATACACTGCTTGATATAATTTCCTAATATCTTGTTGAGGACTTTGCATCTATGCTCATGAGAGACAATGGTCTATAAAGCTGTCTTCTTATGGCTCGGCGCCTATAGCTCAACCGGCTAAGGCGCCAGCCATGTACACCTAAGGTGGCGGGTTCGAATCCCCAGCCCGGGCCTGCCAACAACAATGACGGCTGCAACCAAAAAATAGCCGGGCGTTGTGGCGGGCGCCTGTGGTCCCAGCTACTTGGGAGGCGGAGGCAGGAGACTCGCTAGAGCCCAGGAGTTGGAGGTTGCTGTGAGCTGTAATGCCATGGCACTCTACCCAGGGGGACAGCTTGAGGCTCTGTCTCAAAAAAAAAAAAAAAAAAAAAAAAGAAAGCTGTCTTCTTAAAAGGTAAACAGGCTGAGAAATCTTAGAGCTATCAGTTACATATAAGTGGTAATTAGTTAATCAGATTATTGTTCTTCTGAAACCTAAAATGGTATCAACTTCAATGAGATTTAAAAAAAAATCACTGATCAGAGAGAAAACATGGAACAGTTAGAGGAATCAAAGTAGGTTTTAGCCAGTTTTAGCATTTCAAAAGCATGAAAAGCTATAGCTCATACTACTTTCCATAGGGTTTAAGTTTTGAATCAGAAGAGGGATAAGGAATGAATTGGCCTTATAGCCTTAGAATATGGGAAGGGGGTGGGAGGGGGAGGTGAGGGGAGTGGATGGGGAGAGGGAGGGAGATTGGTGGGGTCACCTCTATGGTTTATCTTACAAGGGTACAAGTGAATCTTTCTAAAAGCAGAGTATGAATGTTTTAAATCAATAAGAAAATGACATGAAGGTTATGTTAACCAGTTTGATGAGAGTATTTCAAAATGTATATGAAAACAGCACACTGCACCCCATGTACACAGTTATGCTGTAAGAAATAAAAAAAAAAAAAAAAGAATCGGCCTAAGAAGAGGGACAGTGTATCTGAGTCCCTGATAAAAATCATTATTCCTTTTAACGGGTTTTGTGAGATATAATAGCTTATCTGAATTTTAACTTAAAGGTAATGTAGTCTAATCCCTAGATTCCATAACTTATGGATTGTCTCCCAAGTCAGGGATGGCAAGACTCTATGGGTGTTAATGATCTCTCTGCCTAGGCCTACTCCACCAACAAAAAACTATTCAAATACATACACTGCAGTTCTTTCTGCTACACATCCAGCATAACGACAACAAAACAGTATCTTCTTTATCAGCTGTTTGCAGTCAGGAATCTCCAAATTGCCTTTGTTTCTTCTCTTTATCAGGTTGCATAAATGGCTTAACATTGAACTCTTTCTTTTGGAATAAATCTAACCTCACTGGGAGATGGGACAGGAAGGCTGAGGGATGGTAGCCAGCTGTCCTGTGTCTGAAAGGGGGGAGGGGCTGTATCTGTGGGAAAGGGTTTGGAAGAGGAATTGGGATGTTACGGGAAGGCCTATTCATCTCTTCTAGGGAAAGTTCTGGTGCAGAACCTGTGATGTTATCTATTGTTGGCATTATGTGGCTGAATACAAGCATATGATTTCTTAATATTTTGATATTATGCATATCATTTCCTCAAATTTTAGAATTTAAGCTTCCTGAGTAATCACTAATTTCTCCAGATATCTCCAGATATTCTCCAGAAAGACACCCTCTGAGTGTTCCCCAAACTAACAGCAATTTTAAAACAGAATACAAAGTGAGTTAAATGGGTTTTTACAAATGGTATTCTGAGCTTAATGCTGACAACAAAATGAGGACAAATTCATAAGAACTCTTCAAAGTGAGTAGAAACAAGGGAAAGGAAAGCTGTGCAGTCTCAAATGTGCTAAATTTTAAGAAAGGAAATTTCAAAAAGCTTACAAAAGGAATAAGGGAAAAAGAATCAGTGTGTATGGTATGCATAGCATGCTCACTCTTGCACGCCCTCTCTCTCTCTCTATATATATATATATATATATATGTGTATATATATATATTTTAAGACAGAGTCTCATTCTGTCATCCAGGTTGGAGTGCAGTGGTGCAGTCATAGCTCACTGTGGGCCCTGCACTGCTGGCCTCAAGCAATTCTCCATCTCAGCCTCCTAAAGTGCTGTGATTATGGGTGACAGCCACTGCGCCAAACAAAAATTAGTATATTTTGATAGCTACAATTTCTGGAAGAAATTCCACTAGAAAACAAAATAGTTGGCAATATCTGAAGAAATTAGTGATTACCCAGGGAGCTCAAATTCTAAAAGGTCACAAGAAAAAGAAAAGGAAAAGAGGCAGATAACTAAGAAAGAATACGCAGAAGTGGGACAAAACACTAACACATGTTCACTCTTCATTCTTCCATCCTGCTTCCACCTGCTCAGATCCTTTCTAGGGCAGCTCAGCCCTCCTCCACAAGATCTTCTTCTCTAATCCTGACTCGAACTAACCTCTCCTCTTCCCAATTCTGTGTAATTGGCAATTATTCATAGACTTCTTTGCCTCCCCAATTCAATGTTAAGTTGTGAGACTGCTGGGCCCATATCTTGGTGACCCTAGAACTCCTATAAACACTGCTTCCTAAAAAGCAGATGATAAGTAAACGTGCTGATAAAGTCAAAGAAGCTAACCAGAAATCAGAGTTTTTAGAAGAATGGAGACTAGGGTAGGTATAAAAAACACAGATTTTGAGCATACATAAGTTGTACTAACGCCCAATCCAATTCAAATCAATTATGTAACAAGTAGAATGAATAGGTACAGTCACCTAGAATTGCAAAAATAGCACAATACCTGCAGGAGACTTTCTATGGCATGAAAGCCGCGAATTAAATTCAGAGCTCCACATAAAAGACTAAGGATAAATGCCACAATCCCTGACAGAGTTGCTGGTTCCAGTCGCTGGTGAGCTAGAAAATAAAAGAAATAGTCAGAAATGAACACCAGTATCTCACATAGCTGAACTTACATAAAATAACAATTCATTTCTTAATTTAAAGGGGTCAAACAGACTAATCTTCTTAAAATTAGACAATATATTTTCATAATTAAATATTCTTTTAAAATGAAAAATGTTTGACAACATAAAAACTTCATTCTCCTGAACTTAAACGAAATTAACTTCTTTTTTTCCTACATTTTTAACAAAGGCATATAACATTTGGAATGGATAGCAGTCAGGAACGCTCACAACCTAATAGTAAATCATTTAGGAAAAAACTTACTGCCTAATGATGTCTGCAGTTTGCAAGTAGGTGCAAATATTTGCAAAGGTGACTTTGCTTAGAAATTCATAATTCCTACTTTTTCTGAAAACGCTTAGAAAACATTTTTAAGGACAAACATAGCTAGCTTTTAAGCAAAACTCTCCCTTATTTGGGTTTCAGGGCTATAAATACCATGGGATATGTGTGAAAGCTCAAATATAATCAATAATCTGAACTCTACAACAGAACAAAACCTTATAGCTATGAAATTCCTGAACCTCTGAATAACACTTGAAGGTAGATGTGATAAAACTCCAATTGAAGAAGTGACCATTTTATCTTTAAAAATACATCCCCCAATCTTTCAGGGCATCTGCAGCATAAGACATTCAGTCACACAAAAATTTCCCTTGATCATCATCTTGTGCTTAATAGAATTAACAATGGAGTCTACGCGAAAACACAAAACCAAATACATAATTGCCTAGACCTCAAAAGAGAGACAGAAGGAAAGAGAGGACCAGGGAGTCACATTTAGATTATTTTATTTAAAGCAGTGAAGTGTAAAAGCCCCAACAATGAAGTTAATGAGGTGGAACATTAATGTAAAAAAGGGCTTAAATCTTTGCAACTTATATTCAGCCATTACAGCAGAAAACCTTCCCTGAACAGTTTATTAAAAAAACCTCCACATATCAAAAAAAGGATTTGCTCTCCAAGTTCAGCAAAAAATTGCTAATACAGGATAATATCCTCTTAAATTTCTTTGGTGTTCAAACCTAGTCTCTCAACCTATTTCCTTAAAATTTAATATAAAAATAGAAAAGTAAATGTCTTTATTAAGTATTGCTACAAAGTTTTATAGCAGTAGAGAAAAAATTTTCACAATTTTAAAATCTCCCCAAGTGATCTATCAATTAATCATGTTTTGTAGCCTCCCTTTCCTCTCCTCAGTAGTTAAGGGAGAACTGGCCTCTTAAAAAAAAAAGAAATCCTCAATATGGATCTCAAAAATAAAACCAACCTAGCAACTGACCAGACTATATAAATTACACTTCTCAAGTATGTAAAACAAGCTTACCTTATGAAAAAATCCCAAATAATATCCTGCATTATAACTAATAAACCTTAGCTTTTTACAGCCAAGTAAGGTGTGGCCATTCTTTAATGGAAAAACATTACCATTTTAATGTGTTCCTGAATACCTACTTAAGAAATGAATAATACATTTATATAATTAAGTATCTGTTAAGTTTCTAACATTTGCCTCTTGGCCTCAGAACACTCTCTTTATAATAGTATACCATTTATTAATTAATTATTTCAAAATTGCCAAGATATATTTAAAGCCATAAAAGCAAATGATAAGCCTCCTTTAACAAGAACAAGGTAGACACTGTGCTGAAGGACAGGCTGGCACTGTGCCAAACCCCTGTGGGAAAGAAATTCTAAAGAAGAGATGCTCTCCTTCCACCCACTTCCCAGGACCTTTGAGAATGCTTATCAAGAGAACATTCCATCTTCCACACAACACAAAAGGGTAATATTCCTTAAAGAATATTAATGTTTTATGCTATATATATATTTTACCTCAGCAAAACCGATTTTAGACCCACTGTTATGCTTACTGCACACTTCAATTTGGCAACATGCTAGGTACTACGAGGTATGCAGTACATTTAGAACAATAACAAAATGAACACGGGGGCATTATTAGTAACTTTGTTTGGCTCAAAGAGATGTTTGTGAAGAGTAGAGAGAAATAAGGTCAGAAAGGGAGGCTGAAGCAAAAATTAACAGACGTCTGAAATTCTAGCCTAGGAATTACGGGAAATGAGACAATGGGGAACCACTGCAGCACAAGAGATTGATAGGATTTTTTTTTTTTTTGAGACAGAGCCTCAAGCTGTCCCCCTGGGTAGAGTGCTATGGCATTACAGCTCACAGCAACCTCCAACTCCTGGGCTCAAGCGAGTCTCCTGCCTCCGCCTCCCAAGTAGCTGGGACCACAGGTGCCCGCCACAACGCCCAGCTATTTTTTGGTTGCAGCCATCATTGTTGTTTGGCGGGTCCGGGCTGGGGATTCGAACCTGCCACCTTAGGTGTATGTGGCTGGCGCCTTAGCCGGTTGAGCTATAGGCGCTGAGCCGAGATTGATAGGATTAAGGCTACCCTTAAAGATATCAATCTATTAATGGATTGTAAAGAGATCAAAAGTAGGGAGAGAGAAGTAATGTTTTCTGAGTGCCTTCTTACTAGGCACACACAGTCCCATTTATCTTTCAAAATGAGGTACTTCATGAGGTCAGGATGACTAACGTCTCTGGACTTGAACTTTCATCATCTATAAATTGAGGTTAAATAATTTGCTAAGTCAAACAGCCAGTAAGGGCCATCTTCCCAATTAGCACTTGGGCCTGTCTGACTGCAAACCCATTTGCTTTTTATAATTCTACAATAGGGAGTTCATGAGAGAGTCACTGCAGAAACTGACTGAAATTGGGGCCTGAATTAAGACAGTCACAGTAGAAACAGGAAAAAAAGACATGAGAGATTATGGAGGTTAAAACTATTAGGTGTGGCAATTGGGGAAATGTGGGAAACAAAAGAGAAAAAAATAAAAGAAAATGTTGGAGTTTTACATCTGGGTGACTAGGGCTAGTGACAAACCTATAGAAAGAAAGTTAGGCCTAGTCAAAAATGGGGACATTGTAAACATCTCAAATTTGAGGGGATGGTGAGGCATGTTTAACAAGCAACTGAAGAAAAGAACAGCAATAGAGCTAGAGAAACAGATACGTTCTGCATCTAAAGGGAAGGGTTTAAATGAGATTACCAAGGGAATAAGTAGATCAAGGGCAAACCTTCAGTAAATACTGCCATAGGGAAAGGAGGAGTCAAGAAGCCAGACTTAGAGAACAAACAATAAAGAGCCGCAGAAACCCAGGAAGGGGAGACCATCAAGAAGAACAACATGGCTAACGGTGCCTATACCCAGGTCAAAGAACATCTGAACATAAATTGACCAGGTGATAATTGGCAACTCCTTTCATAAAATAGTTTGAGAAAAGTGGTTTATGGTAAATTTCAGACTACTGCAGTTAAAGGAGAGAAAAACAGTATGAAAACTTAACAGAGATAATAGGATTGAGAAAATAATTCTTTTTCCCCCACAATGTGAGCAAGACGAAAACTTGAATATATTTATATTTGTGGAATGAAATAATTCAGTGAAAATAAAGCAGAAGAGTCAAGAAAAATAAAAAATAATTGATGAAGTTTAGTCCACAACAGTCATTATGAAGATTCTAAACCTCAAACTTGATAATACCACAGTGCCTATCCTGCCAGTCAAAGGCCAAGTTCAAAAGGTACAATCATTCAAAGATGCCTAAAATGTCTGGAGGAAGAGCCTTCAGGACAAAGAAATTTCAGGTCAGTTCCATCTAAATGAGCATAATTTATGATTAAAGTATGACTGAATGAGTCTAACATTCTGGCACAAAACACAACTATTCTTTTCACCAGGGCAGACTGACTTTTCACCACCACCTGCAAAAAGCATGAATATCCCTCAAGGCCCCAAGACCTAAAAGCAGTACGTCCTTCTTACCTCTTTTGGAGCATGTATCACATTCTACCTTGTACCTGGGTCATTACAAAAGTTTTGAGATACACTAAAATCAAGAAACATAAAATTTGCATGGATGGAAACAAATGAAGCCCTCCCAGCAACAACGATAAGACACACAAACTGAAACCTGCACAGGTGAATCAGAAAGGACTGTTAACTGTGTTTCCTGAAAGTGAAATAATGGACTGTTATAGTCTATATAGTCTGTCTCAAAACTTTCATAGTGACCTAAGTATTTTATTCATTGGACTATATTTCTTTTTGAGAGCAGTTAATGTGTTTACATCTTATACTATTGTTTACATATATTTGAATTTTCAATAGATAGTTTAGAAAATGAAACAAAAAATAAAAGCAGAATTTTAATACAATGTTAATGTTATAATGTTAATATACTGACTGCACGATGGACATCTGTAGACTTCAGAAAATAGTAAGTATGGCAAAATAAAAATATTCATGCCAGGCTTGGCACCTGTAGCACAATGGTTACGATGCCAGCCACATACACTGAGGCTGGTGGGTTCCAACCCGGCCCGGGCCAGATAAACAACAATGACAACTGCAACAAAAAATAGCCGGGTGTTGTGGCGGGCTCCTATAGTCCCAGTTATTTGGGAAGCTGAGGCAAGAGAATCACTTACACCCAAGAGTTTGAGGTTGCTGTGAGTTGTGACATCATAGCACTCTACTGAGGGCGACATAGTGAGACTGTGTCTCAAAAAAAAAAAAAAAAAGAAAACATGCCTAATTAAAAAAATAAAACAAAAAATAAGATATTATGATAGAGAAAAGCAAATAAATAATTTTATTAGAAATTCTAAAACAGAAAAACATACTTTAACTTGAAGACTACAGAAAATATTATGTAGGCTTGGTCTATATTAAAAGTTTAATTTTAAAACAAGTTACAGTTGGGAATTACATCCAAAATTTCTCTTTCTTAAAGCATTAACAGATAGCAGATTCTCCCCATTTTCCAAGTGTCCATTGTTTGGTGATCCAGGATACCACTGCAGTCTACTGGTCACAGTGGGACTTAAAGAAGTCAGGTAATATGTAGTTTCCA